ATTCTTTGTCTAAATATATCCCATTACATTTATAATCTAATCTTCAAATCCCCATGTGAGCGTCACCCCACCTGCATTTTGGAAATAGTCCATCAATGGTTTCCATTCTTTAAGGCAGTCGTTCTTTGAGTTTTCTTTTAATAGGCAAGTCAATTTGTCAATTTGGGCAGAGGACCTTTCCAAGGTGTTGGGGAAGGGGGGAGTGAGAAAAATTACAATACCCTTGCAGGGAAATGGACTCGTCCAGGAGCAGAGAATTCTGCAGGCTGCCGAGGAAATTGGGAAGGGAAGGTGCCAGCCTTCCCAGGTAGACCAGACAGAAAACATGACTGGATGAGCTAATTCTACTTTATTGTGAGGCTATGTTAAGAGAATCTTGCAAGACTGAAAGTACAAATCTCCCACCGTCCCCTTTACGGCCTGAGAAACTAGGGAGGGTCCCTTCTGAGCCTCTTTCTGCACCCATTATACAGCTGAGGGCTAAGCCATCTCTTATCTGACCGTTCCCTAGGCAGCGTCTCTTCCTTCCGTCTCCCAAAGTCATTCCCACATACCGTTACAGAAGGAGGCAGCTTTTATGTTAAGAGAAAAAATAATTCATGGAACTGGAATCCTGCTCATATTTTTGTGCAAAGCCGGGATGTTTGATCCGTCCGGAAAGTGTGTTGGTTCTAGTGATAATGTTCATTATCTCCCGATGGATCTATTTGAACTGCTCTTCTTCTGGCTGCCAGCCAAGCAGTCATTTCCACAATAACAGTCCATTTCCCACTTCTCTCTCTATTATCCCCCCCTCCAATTATCCAAAGTCAATCATTATTCCATGCTATTGGATACACCCTTTCGGGAACCCGGAAGGGGTTCTGCCTGAATTCCCTTCTAACTCAATAGACAAGTTAGATAAAGAAACAAGGGGGCCGTTCAGAGAAGCAACCCGAAGATAAAATTTCTTTTTTCTTTTTAAATTCCCCAAACATTTATTGGAACTTGAGCCCAACTAAGGATGTCTCCAAGCCTGTTATTTCTCTCCTGGATACGGAGGGCCCCTTTTTGCCAACGCTGGCAGAACTGACATAGCTTGCTGATTGTAGGATGAATGAGGATGAAATCCTAATCTTTGTCCAGTGGGGTCAGCTAAATTTTCTCTCTTCTGGCCAGCAAATTCATCCCCGAAGGCTCTGTGCGAGTCGCGCTCTCCTCCAACTGCTTCATCTCCTGCCAGCTTAAGAGTGCAGCTTTCTTGCGGCCCGACGGCGTCGCAGTGGTGGTGTTGTCGAACGAGTAAGTGGAGAGGCTCTGGAAGGAAAATGCCCCCCCATTGGAAATGCTTGGGGCCAGAAGGTCCCTCGTGTGAAGTTTGGGATGAACCGAAAGAGTTCTCCTCCTGCGAATCCGTTCATTGAGGATTCAATCAATGAGGTCACCAGAAATTCACACAAGCTTTGCTGGATCAGGCCAAACCTCGTTGTGATCCAGTGTTTTATTTCTCCACTGGCCAACCGGAAGCCTCTGAGATGTTCCCTCATTCCCCCTTGACCAGAATTTTTGCTCTCTTTTCAGCTGGTCTCTCGATGTTACTATTTCTATTTTGGACAACCGCGTGGGTTATATCGAGGACCGCGTGCCGGCTTACTCCATCCAAACTTATCTGTGGAGATGGCACCCTTGAGATCCTGAGACTCAGAAGGAAATTGGCCTTTCGCCCAGGAATAACAGGCCGTGCAGAGAAGACGCCTTGGAAGGATAAGGACCCTGCACGCCGCACGTGTCAATGCAGCCTTCTTCCTGGGACCAAGTTTACCACGCTCCATCTGGAACTAGTGACACTGGGACTGAGCAAACTCCTATCGTCACAACCCTCTTCCTATTCTCCCAATAAAATCTGAATTAATTGAGTGTGAAACATGAATGAAGCGAAACGCTGCCAGTAAAAGTCAGGACAGGAAAATGGGCAGAGGGGTGGGAGCGGACGTTTGCACACTGACCATCCTTCGCTTATGGGGTTTCTTCCCAGTTGGGGTATGTCCAGATTACCTCCTGGAGGAAGACGAGGGAGGTGTTTTCTATGCAGTGGTATTAAGCAACTTCCCAGGCCCCATCATCCTTAGCCAGTGGCCATACAGAATAGGGAGGAGGGGAGTGAAAATAGGCCAGTTCCATGAGTTTTATGGGGAAAAATGTCCGTCCGGGAATAACAGCACTAATGGCTGGGTTTTTTCATTCCCACTTTGCCGGTCTCATATTGTGTGGAATAAGTGAGTCGCTGGACTTTTCTAGCTTCATCTTCCAAATTAAATAGGCAGATGTCTTTGAAAGCTCTTAAAGCACAGAGTGGGGAGTCTCCCTTTTTTGTCCCATCAGTGCCCATTGTTGGGACCCTGACATTTACAGGTATTTTGCTCCTATGTATGGAAGCTCCATTCAGGTTTGCTTGCCAGACTGACAGATCTCCAGAAGTCTTTAATACCCCTCTTAAAAGGGAAGGAAGGAAGGGGTTGATTAATCTTCCA